TCTAATTGTTTTCAAATGTTCAACACCAAATAAGTTTGTTATAGCAGTGAAATACTTCAATTAATTGATGTTTTGCATTCTTTATTCATTACATTAATCTTTGTTTAAAATAGTACAAGACTCAATTTTAGTTAGATATTTTCAACTGGTTTACTGGTTTATCGTGCAAAACACAGACATATTTTTTTCAGTTCTATGATGTAACATACACGGCTCTATCAAAAGTTTATTATTCATTGATATCTGCTTAATGATGCCATCAGACTATACAATGCTGAATAATGGGAGATATTCAGACATATTTCCTTTATGTTGTAAATTTGGAGGAAATGTTAATGTTTGAGCATTGAATGGATAACTAGTGTCCATCAAATTGTAAATAATCATCTACTAGTCATATGAGTTAGATGCAGAGATTTTGTTGAAAAAATGATTTAAAGTAGCACCTCATAAATCTCCAACGATGATATCGAATTATTACTGAATAATAATTTACTAGTGTAGAGGCTTGGAAAATTTAACTTGTTAGTCTTAGTAAGATAAGCAAAACATTTATTAACTGACATCTCAAAGATACCAGCAACTGCTAGTTGACAGGTTTGAAAGTCGTCAATAGATCGAAATTGGCCGTATAGTTTCGATCTTTAAACTGAATATTTTGTTATTTTACTGTCATCTACTCTTTTCTTGGTTCAATGTTTCTTTATAGTTTCATGTTCAATACCATTTTAGTTGATCAGCTAATTGTGATCCGAAAAAATTCACTAATTTCAAGGAAAACTACTGACAAACTTGTCATTTAGTCAATCTCTAACCGGTCAACCAATGGTTTGAGCTTCGTACACTTACTAAGTAGTTTCAAATTGTTTAGAGAAACTATTTTAAATGAATAAACATTCTATCACAAGAGAAACAGACTAAAACAAAGAACCATTATTCATCAAATTTTAACTAAACAGTCTAAAGTGAAAAAGGTTATAGAGGGCTTTCCATATTCTACATTCTATCCTGAAAGCAATGAAGAGTAAAAATTATTGAATAGTGAACAGTTAGACAAGGCGGTTATTTGATTTTCTTTGATTTTCAAGAATATTTTTGTACTGATGATTAGAATAGTTATAGATGTTGTTTAGTTTATCAACAGAAAGTTATGTCAGAAACAACAAATGGTTTACATTGATAAACAGTAGAAAAATAATCATAGAAATAAAAAAAGTACTCAAAATCAATATTGTTAGAAACTTTGTAGTAATTTTTTTTTCATTGTAATCATGAATGTGTAAATCCGAGTCAAACGGAAATTTTCAACAAAAAAGAAATAATAAATTCTTTAATATTTCTCTTAACAAGAGAATTTCTTTTCAAAAATAAAAACAGAAGTTAAGAAAAAATTGAAATAAATCCAATTACTACTTTTTTTTTAAAAAGAAACAAATAATTATTTGTATAAACGAATCCTATTTATTAGGAAGTGTATTAAATATTAGTTTAAGCATTGGAATTGATTGGTTCATTGGAAAAAAAACGGAGATATTCATTCACTATCACGGTGTGTGTGTGTGAAACACCAATGAAAATTATCATTGAGGGAAAAATAAATATATTCTCTTATTTGCGTTTTTGAAATATTCAAAGTAAATGTTGAGTTGTTGTTATTAAACAATTAGTTTAATGAATATGATGAGAATGGATTCGAACGATTGAAAATATCAACATTTAGCGGTGAGGTTAGTCAAAAACTATGTACATTTGAAGATTTGTAGATTTTACAAGTTGTTTATTTTTGAAAATCTAGATTTATCTGATGATATATGCCATTTTGTATTGTAGAATATTCTTGAGTAATATTGATTAAATGTATGTCTTTTTTTTCATTGTAAGATTGAGTGATACAAGATGATTTTCACGGTTTAAATCACTAAATGACCTCCAGGAAAAAATTACACATCAAGATGAAATAGCAGGTTTTCATTGATGAAGGTCTGGCTAAAGTTAGTTCCCTCATTTAAATTATGTAAATTAATATTAAATTAGGCGGACAATTTGTGATGAATAAATATTTTCGTAATGAACCGAATTTTTATACTTATTTAATTACATAGAAAACCATGGAAATTGACTTTACCTGAAGTGAATCATTACTTTGATCAGCGGTAAATGTTTTATTCAAAAATAAAATTGACGATCAACAGATGAGTTTAAATCTTTAACCATGAATCAAAGCCTTAGATATGTCATAATATTTGATGGAAAAGTAGTATAGTTTTTCAGTCAGCGAGGGTGGAAAAATTCACAAGTAGTAGTGTTAATTAGAATAATATTGATAACTTACTTATCACTTTATCAAGACATGGAAAAAATAGACTACTCACTGTAAATCTTACGTATAAGAGTGTGATTAAATTTTATTAAAATGTTAACACCTCAATGGTTGTTGGCTTAAGATTTCAACTATTTAATGACATTTATATTGGAGAAAATTTAGACTGAGATAAATTATTTACTAATCGAAATACAGCTGTGTATGAGTCAGTAAGACGGTCTCTAATCACATTTGTTAACTAGTTGGAACTTCATTTAGTTTCTGATTCGTTGATGTTTAGTTAGTAAACGGTTAACTGCACTTGGAGGCCTTCTGGGGTTACTCCCGGTTTCAAGTTTATTCCTGTAATACTCTTTACTGAGTGAAATAAAACCTGCGAAGGCAGGACATGATTATTGGTTTTGTTTGTGCAAAAAAAGGGACTTTATCTGTCAAACTGATACTATAGTCAAGTCAGCTTCCTTTATCTATTTACTGAGTCCAAACTATGAAGCAAAAGTTATTCTGAATACAAGTAAACTTATGTTTGGATAAATAACTTATCATTGATAACAATCCCAGAAATTTTTAGATATAAAAGTGTTGTGCTATAAATATTATAACTTTCTGCTATATTTCCTTGGTTTTGTTACATTCTGACACAGTGAACATTATTCAATTCAGTGTACTCGTACATACATATGTATATAAAGAACATGAATGCGTTGAAATTTAGAAATCAATTATTTTGATTAATCAGTAATGTTGCTAGGAGGATATTCGGAAATAATAAAATTATTTTTTTGTCTTAATTTTAGTTCATATTATCTATTATTGTACTTTAATACCTTTAACAACATAGCCATTGTCCAAAATCAAAAAAAATTCATAAATTTCGATAGTTAAGAGTTGATTATTTAAAATACAGTAAACCACAATATGATTCATTTCTTAAGATCAAAATAAGTTTTTAGGTTGTATTTATCACAAATTTATCTTAATTAGGGGATAGGTATCAGTGAATTCTAGGAAGTACTAGAAAGCTGTATCACCCTTAGCGATTTGAGTCCAAGACCTCGCCAGAGATTGGAATTTCAGGCCCCTCAGGGAGCTGCTGAGGAGTGCAATACAAGGTACCTTATCAAGTAATTTCTGGTTTTCTCTAAAATTCCAATTCAAATCAATCTGTGACAAATAAAACCAACCTTCAAAGACCTTTGGATTCAAAATGTACTTTTATCGCTGTTCAGTAGACCTTTCAGTATCTCGAAATGATGTTTCTACCTTCATTGAATACTTCTTAAATGATTCTATTTTTACTGTGTTCTTCGTTTTCAATAAATATCTTTTTAATTAAAGGTTTTATTTTAATACTGAAAGAAAAATTTCTATTGGTATGACATTAATGCATTGGGTGGAATCAAATGGAAAGAAATTTATTAATAACAGGTCTTCATGTACACTGATAACCTCGTTCAGAGATTGCAACTCGCATAACTTAACATTTCAAACAGAGAAGTGGACTATTTCAGACTGTGCTTTGCCTTATATAGTAGTGAAAACGACAAACTAATTGTTCATTGGATAATAATCAAGGTTGAAGTGGATGGCCTTCATCCCTCAGCTAACTCTGCTTACGAAGCTTATAACGCCAATAATTGAGATTGATTTATTGAAGATATTTATTTTGAATATGAATATTTGAAGGTTATTAGTATGAAGTAGTTTTACCAAAAGCTTAGTATTGGTCACTATTAAGAAAATTAATGCCAGTGCTAAGATTCTGGAGTTTTTATTTAAAAGGCATCACTTGAAGAAATTCGGGTTATTTAATTCAAAGATTTTCGGATAATCATTCACTTCATAAATAGTTTGCATAACAAAATTATACTTATTTACATATCAATAATTCGAGCTCTGAAGAAGTTTCCCAAATTTGCTGATGATAAGCTGTGATCAGTAAGTCAATTTTAATTGATCACTAGGTTCTAGGTCATTGGAAAATATGATCACATGATATCTGCAGGAGTCATATGATTTAATATGTTCGTGGATTTGTGATTAAGATTTCTGCATTCAGTATCAATAGTTTGTAAGTTAAGAAGTGATTTCTGTTCATGAGGCTCAAAGATTTGAATTTTAAGTCACATAAAAGATTTGAAGACAGTTAGCATGAAATCATCAGTTTCATGCTTCTTCCACGCTTACCAAGTAAACTATTTTCTTATCCAATCATGAAACACATGTAACTAACTATGGTATTTATGTTTATTACCACATATTATTGTTTGTAAACATTTGAAAATGTCTTTGACATTGAACGCAATTACATATTTTCGATTAAACAAGTTCATAAGTTTTAATTTTTCTCTCCAATCATTATCTTATATACTTATTTTGTTTATTACTAATTATACTATTTTGGTAAAACATTGTGCTGATGTAGTTTGGTAACTCGAACTAATGAAATTAAGTGCTTGGTTGTAACTCTGTGTAATGCTGACTAACTGACTGACTACAGTTTCAAATGTCAATCAAAACATAGTTTTACTAGGAAAAATACACTACACAATCTGTTCCTTTTGAAATATTGAACACTGATCAAATTATGAATTATTGTGGTAGTTTGAGTAAACAATTTTTGTCTCAATTTTTGCACTTAATCGGTCATTTTTTGTGTTTTATTATTATTATTTAGAAAATGAAAGAGAAGAAAAAGTTCTCGTTTCGGAAGTTGATTGGTAAATGTAAGTGATTATTTCGTATGTGTGTACACAGCATATGCAATCCTTGACTACTTCTATTATTATTATTGTTATCTGTTTCATTTGACTGACTGAATCAAGGTGTGTGTAATTAGCAGCATCTGGTTACGAAAATACAGCTGCATTTTATGACATCAATGAATGGTTAAGGTTTTAAATTCCTGAAAGAAACAAATCAACCTTTTAAAATGTCATGTACATTTTGGTACGATTGTTATACATTTTTGTTAAATAAGTAGTATGAAGATGTTAGAAAATGCTTAAGCTATAATTCCAACTTTTTAGGAATCAGAAAGTAACTGTTACATTATTAGATATTTGAAAATGAGTTAGTCGGTTTCACGAATAAAATAAATCATTAATGAGGTATTGACACCTTGAATGACGTTTATATATGGAGTTTGATAATTCCATCTGTCAATCAGTGACCTTGTATCATATAAATATCAAGTATATTTCTTTTAACAAAAACAAACTGATCAATAATGTCAGATTACTTAAAGATCATAATGACAGTTGAAGTACATGTTCAATATATTTTGATCAGTGAATAAAGAACAAATGATGTGAAATTTATTACATTCGAGTGATACATGTATATTTTTTTCCAGCTATGCATTTAGGTAAAGTGTGTAAAATTTTAACGTAGAGTAGTTCAGTAAGCGATGATATTTGACTTTTAATGGAGAAACGATAATTTTCGGAATGATATTTCACTTCATAAAACATTACATTGGAAAGACATTCAAAAATGTTTTCTCAGTGTTTCTAGCTTCAAGTAAATGATGAAAACTATCATTACAATAATTTATTCCATATTAATTTTGTACTTCTCAATTGAATTATTACCACCTGTCTTGAACAATTCAATTGTGATTTAAACAAATACGAACTTACATCATTGTGTAAACTAATTGAAATATGTCGTAGTTTTTTTTTCTCGTCCTTGAATTACACAACACACATTGTAGTTAAACAAAAACAGGAGTCAGTTTGTTGAAATATACTCATCAAAATTAATTTAAATTATAATTATACACTGTATAGGACATATCGAATGAAAAGCCTGTGTTTGGTTATATACTAAAGTTTTTTCAGTGTATGCTTAGTATTCGGTTTATATTTATCAGTTTGTATTTGACAGACGTTCTTGATGGTATGCGAGAAGACTATATCAAAGTGAACTCATATCACATAGAGAAAATCTATAGATAATCAGTGGCATAGTAGATTACGTCAGTAAAATGGCTTTATATCTCTTAGATATATAAAAAGGCTATTTAATAAATCACTAAATTCGTTATAGTGTTATGGAGATTGTAGTTTTCCATCAAAATCATGAACTAATCATTTTCAGACCAACCTGAAAGCATTGGACAGTCATTTCGTCCTAGTATGAGACTCTTCCGCGAAAATCCCTAGATCGATCAAAGTTAGACATTAACACCATTGGATGCCAGTTCTGTGGTTTGGATGTTAAGCTTTCGTGCATTGGGGTCGTGGATGTGCACAGCTGAAGAGTCCCATACTAGGCAGAAACGCCCATCTAATGCTTCCAGGTTTCTAATAATGGTCTAAAATTGATTCATTCTTCAGAGATATAAGTGAATGTATGTGGCTTTCCATGTTTATTCGTTTATTTTCTGTCTGATTTTTTGTTCAACAGTTGAAGAAACATCTAAATCACATATCAGTCAAATATTAAACAAATCACACTCTGACGGACAATGTGATTCCAATAATAATCAACAAATAGAAAGTGAATTAGAATTCGCTCATAAACTCATGAATTCACCAGAAGAAATGGGTTTAAGTTTAGAAGGAAGAGATAATGAAGTTGAATGTTACATACAAACTATTTGTGAACCATGTATCTTAAGTAAAAATGCAATAAATTTTGATCGTTTACTACGTCGTATTGATACAACTAATGCACGTGTAACAACATTAATTAATCTATGCACTACAGCTATTTTAGCTTCAGATAAAGTGACAGTTAATTTTCTTGTGAATAGTTTAAAACGTATGCGACGTAAACAAAATTTATTAATTAGTGAAGCGGATGATATAATGATGACATTTTTAAAAGATCCACTAGTTTTATTACGTTCAAAAAAAAAGAAAAATGATAAAAATGAAGGAGGTGTGAAATTCACTATTAATTATCCTGACGATGATGACGACGAAGAAGAAGAAGAAGAAGAAGGAGGAGACAAAGATAATGACGAGGAAGACAATGTTCGTAATGATGATGACGATGTATACACAAGAGAAGAGAAATATGAAAATAATAGACAAAGCGAAGAAGCAAATATTCGTTGGGAAATGAGTAGTAATCAATTGAGTACGGATTATTCCACAAGTGATAGTGAAAATGATGGTCCAACACCTGAATTTGTTTTAAATCTATCCAAACAAATACGTAAAACTGAGGGTACAAGATTAAAACAAAATTTACGTTTAATTAATCGTAAAAAATCATCCAACATGGGAGATAAAAAGGCATCATTTAATGTTCCGCCACCATTGAATCCACTTGGACATAATCGTAATGATTTATTACGTTCACATGCTACAGTAGCAAGTGGTCTATGTCAACAAGGTCATAAAATGTCATCATCATCAATGTTATCCAGTAATAGTGGATTAAATCCTACTGATGCAATCAATACAATGTATAAACCAACATTACCATTTAATTTATTAAGTTTAACTGGTCAATTATCCTGGTTAATATCAGAATACATTGAACGTGGTAGTTCAACATATAAATGGGCTACCGAATTAATTAATTCCATTGGTAAAATGTCTGTCACACGATCTACTTGGTTAAATGTTCATCAACAATTAAGAGAAACCACTGAATTATTATATTCTCATCGTGATCAACAATTAAAAGCTTATCATTCTACTAGTGAAACACCACAAGGTGAAATTGCTTGGACTAAATTACAAGCTCTACATCAAACTATTCTAACTGGCGATTTGAATGCTTGTACAATTACATCGAATAATTTAAAAGCATTAAGTCAATCAACAAAACAAGTAAACAATGAACGAAAATTAGTTCGATTGTCTTGTTTATTAGAGAAAAAATTACATTTAGCTTATTTATGTGATTTGTTATTATGGAAAGCGCATAAAATCACATTGACACAATTGAATTATACCGATGAAGATCTAGTGAAATGTCAGTCAATGGATTTTCAAATACGTCTATTCGAATTACAATTAGATCAATCAAATGGACAGAATTGGTCCACTAATTTAATGGATTTCATGATGTGTTGGATAAATGATATTTGTGAATGGAAAGCCCAATTCAATTTGAATACATCCGATATTGATTATTTCATGTGGAATGAATTTTATGTATTTAAAAATTCTGTTCAAAATTTATTAGATTTAGTGAAATCGCTGAATGCTTGCAAATTAATCCGATCCGCATTAGATGATCAAGTGAAAAAACAACTTGACGTGAACAATCCTACAAACAGTTGTAATTTAAGTAGTAGTATAAGTAATATCAATTTAGACGATAATCAAAGTAGAATTTCATCATCAGATACATCATCAAAACTACAAACGCATCGTTCATTACATAATCAACATCCACATCAATCACATCATAGTCAAGGTGATTTTCGTTCATTGGACGCTGATCGTTGTTCCAGATCATATGCTGCATTGGTTAGGCAAATACAAGAACATGCAATGAATAATAGACCATTAGCTTATTTTGCTGAACGTGCTCTCTACGATATTGCAGTGGAATTAGGCTGTACTGTCAATTGGGATGAACGTTTCGATAGTTTAAGTAAGGAATTAAAAAATGCATGGCAAGAATGGGAATTGATTATACGTGAAAAAATCGATCGTGATTTCTAGTCGTTACATTACATTTTATTACTTACTTAGTATAATAATATTTCTTTCAACTACTTCTACTACTACTGTCATATTATGAATTTTTAACAAAAAAAAACACACATTGAATCAATGGATGAAAAAATAAAAACCGCTTCTCCGCCCCCCCCTTTAAGAATGGATCAAAAGAAATGATTGATTTACGGAACAAACATACTCAGATCTAGTATTTTTACATTCATTTACTCCGACAATTTCATCTTTCTTCATTATTATTCTCTTCCGATAATCCAATTGAACAACACAATTGTGTGAATGATTATTTTTCTATAAATAAAAACAAACAAACTTGCATCATTCAGCTTCTTCTTTAAGTTAAATCTATTTCTTCAAGTCTACTTACTATCCATTTGTTTATGTCAAACAAGATATTAGTGTCACAGTTGTTTGAAAGCTCAGTTAATAATTCTGCTGACATTAATTACTATAGAATTAATATAAATCGATCGATTATTTCGTTAAAAATTCAAAAAAAAATCGACTTCATTACTGTCGACAAATTTGATCTTCACATAAATACATCTACATACATATTGATATATATATATATATATATATATATATATATTTATATATATATACATAAATATTTTTTTTACATATTCTATAGTTTATTTTTTTTCCGACTTCATATTTGATTATTGCACTGGATTTTTATTTATCAAGAGAAACAAAAAAAAGGAATAAAAATAAATAAAAGATTAAATTACATTGAATTTTACATAATTTTTTTTTAAGTGTTAAAATGATCTATTTGAATAGTTAGAGTTAATTATGCAACACATCGAGGCATTTTCAAATGATTTTCAATTGAAGAATCATTCATGCATTTATTGATTGATTGTAGTTTATAATAGATCATGTAGAGTATGTAGGGCAGCAGGCAATAGAATATTGTTGGGTATTTTACTCGAAAGAAAGGAAACATATATACAGGAAGAGTAGTTGTCCAAGCTAATAATAACCTTGAAGAACTTTCAGAGGGGTGTACAAATTGTGAAAATGAAGTTTTTGTTTTTTTTAAAACTATTACAATCTTGATTAGCTAAATATTATACAATGTGCTCACTGGTGACTAGCTTCGTAAGGAAATTCTTGGAGATCTAGCGAGAATACGTGACTAGTGGAGTTCAACCGTGTCGGGTGTAGGTAGTAACTACCGAAGACAAATGGGTGAGGTAAGGCCGAAGGCCCTAGATTCAAATTCTGTGAGTAGCAGGAGTCGTGGATGTGCACTGTTGATGAGTCCTATACCAGGACGAAACGGCTGTCTTTCAGTGCTTCCAGGTTTCTAATGGTGGTCTGACAATGATTGATTGATGATTTGAATGTGTAAAATTTATATTTTCCTAAACAAGATAACCATCATCTAAGTGGTTTCTATTGTTTGTAACAGGATTCCATGATATTCATTCTGTTTATTTTAATTACTGTTATTTATTTTCTGTAAAAAATAAAATGAAAAGGTACACTAGATTAAATATCACAAGCTAAATTTGTTTAAAAGTTCTATAATAAATAACTTAATTAAAATTAACAGTTTAAATAGTAAAGACGAACAAAGCACAATATTTAGTTCAATCTCAGTCAAAAAAGAACTGATTATGCCAATGCAATGCAAATTTTTCGATCGAAGTGATTCAATGTAAGATTTCACTGTTTATATCTGTGTATATGATAGTGATATGCTAGTGAGTATGAAAAATGTTACATTTTTAATATAGGTTTAAAAAGTATGTGTGAGAAATAAATACAATTAAATATGGTTCTTTGGATAACGTGTACTTCATCCTTGAAAAAGCAACTAAAACTGTAATGAGAAACATCCGACATTCAAACTTTCATTCATTGGTATATCATAAATATATGGTTATGATTAGTAAAGGGTTATACATTGTTGAGTTTCATTAAAATCATAAGCTGCTCAATCTCATACCTCCATTGGAAACCTGGAATCACTGGACGACCATCTTCTTTAATCATGGGACTCCTTAATAGTGCTCATTTGCGACTCCACATGCTGAAATCAAACCTAGGAGCTTCAGTCTCGTGCTCAAACACGAAGACCGTTGAGCTGGCATCCGATGGTCTAAAAGCCTAACTTCAGTCAATCCACGATATTGCCTGACCGTCACCCATTGTCTTCGACCCTGCGTTCACAGTCGTGGATATGCAGTGACAATGAATCCCTTAAAGGGAAGACATTTCGGTCCAATGCATCTGATTTTTCAATGTTGATCTAACTTTGATCCATTTACTGGAAATGAAATTGATACTTTAATCTATAATGAATTTCACGAAAGATTTAAAACCTTAGCATCATTGATTGGTTAAATCGTATGATAAATTATAAGATAACTAACTACAAGAGAACATCATCGTTTGAGCATAAAGTTTTTCCATAAATGTACCATAACTATGTAATAGTTCAATCAATTAGTAAAACAGTCATTTAGACCAAGAAATGTTATCTTTGTTGATATAAATTCTGATTTTATATATATATTTATATACTTTACTTATTTCCTGTGTGGTCATTACACAGGAATTGAAAAGCACCCACAATCAACAGATTTATTTTATTGAAATAAATAAAAATCTTTTTTTTCTTTCTCTCTCTAATATTTAAAGCAGAAAAGGATACAATAATTGGAACCTAATAGATGGCCTACAAACTATTTTCTCAGTTAATCGAATCCATAAAAAAAACTGTATGATCTAGATAATCTGTTGTTTTCTAATTGCTATCAATCATAAATAACTTAGTAAGATTGTTTTTTTCAATTAGACTTAAGGGGATCAATGTTTGTACACATTGGAATCATCAATCAATCAATCATTGTTAGACGACCATTAGAAACCTGGAAGCACTAAAAGACGGTCGTTTCGTTCTAGTATGGGACTCATCAGCAGTGCAGATTTTAGTGTAACATTAATGTACAATTTTATATTGATTTATTTTTCGTTATTAACAAAGTATTTATCCATCTTCTTTTTATTAGTGTTAAGTTATGATATTTATGTGGAAACTCATTGTTTTACTCAAAAGTTGAAGGCTGTGAAATCAATAGTTTTAAAGATTATAGATTTTGAGAACTTGGTTTATTTCTGCCTTTGATTAAATGTTTTTTCTTATTTATTTATCCACAAGTACATTTAATTGTTAGATGATTGAATTCGATCAATAGAAATCGTAATTTTTTTATTCGGGCCAGTGATTTTCGATTGATTTGTTCAACTGACTAAGTTTTGTGTACCAAGGGATGGGGTCATTACTAGAGTTAATTAGTTGAAGGAATTTGGCAGGATCTGCTTGAGATGATAGAGAAAAGTTGTGGCTCAGTTGGGGTGGTTATGAAGAAGTTTTGTTCTCTGAGCTTCACAACGAAAAAATCCATATCAGTAGAAGGAGCTCCACCGCAGGTTCTGGTAGTTATGCTAATCAGTTTACGTCAGTAAGACGTATGTCTAAAATTTGTAGATGTAACTTGATTAATAATAGGGACCAGATAATATGATTATGCCTTTTAATATGTAATCAATTGAAGGATTGATTCCGTTTGCGCGAAAACTTATAATGAAGTAGTGTTTGAACCAACAAACTCCGAATTAGTCACTCCGGTGATCTATAGATTGAGTTATGAAGTTTCATCATCAATTGAATTGCAATATAATTTTAATCACTGAAGTCTAATTATGAAGAGTATATCGTTTCAATTACCACACTGCTAGTTACATAATCAGTAACTGAAACAATCAAACTTAAATCAAGTTAAAATAACATGGCTGTATATGAAAGTCTGAAATTATTCTAAAACAAACAGTGCTATTTTAAGGAGCCTTAACTTCTATAAAATTTGAAATAATTTAGAAAACTCTGGACAATTAGTAAAGCTGTATACATATTTCATGACCTGATAAGTTGATATGCATTGAATTATATTTTGATGTGCCGACATCGTATAAATAAATTCAGTGAATGTATTCGGACTAAATATGAAAGTATTTACAGGAGAAACAGAGAATAAATTTAACAAATAAATAGATTTTAGATATTAATTCATGGTCATCAAGTTTATAAACCCATTTTATTCAACCTCTGTTTTTGTGAATTCATAAATAGTATACTGAACAATATCCTTGAAATGTTTGGTCATCTGTTTACTTTCTTATTAGAACATCTGTTAAATTTCTCAAATTTCTGACCTTTGAAGCACTTTTATAAATAAACCAATGGTTCTGTTTAACAATCTAGAACCGAGAGTGTATTCGAATCATGACACCTAAATACTAATCGATAGTCATAGATATAGAAGACAATAATAAAACAGATTTTCTTTGAAACAATCACTTATCTAATGATTGTATTATTCTACTTTCTATTTATAAAGGTTTTGAATGCTAATGAGATACGGTAGTAACCTCGAATGGTCATTATGATCTTTATAAGGTTAATGAAGAGTAGCTATATTTTCTTAATTTTTTTAATGCCAGGTTAAGTAGTTATTTCTTTTATTAAAACATTTTGGCAAATACAAACCTGATTCTATTCCCCTTAACTAAAATTTATGTATTAAAAGGTTTTAATATATATTTCCATATGAGCTATAGAACTAAAATTATCATGACTATCATTATGAATATTCAGAATCAGTATTACTATTCAGATGTTTAATAAACATGTTGGGGACGTTAGATCCGCAGAACTGGCTTGATAAATGCCTTATTTTGGATTTCACGTTTGCAAGCATGGGCTAATCAGTTGACCCTGAGATTTCATTTCCCACCAGGAAAATCCTTGGCTGTGATTGGCTGCTGTGTATTTTAGTGTGCTATTTTTATGACTGTCCCAAGAACGTTTCTATGATGTTTAAATAAACGAGATTTGTGTGCTTGAATGCATTTTGCTTGCAGGGTGTTTGTAGAATATACTTTCTACACTTATCAAGACTTCTCTTTAGCCATTTCAGATCAGGATAGCCTAGCTGGACGCTGGTTCATTGTCTCGAATAAGGTGAACTCGTATAGTTTCAAGCATACCTAGTGACGAACCTAAGAAAACACATTTTTGAAAAATGTTTACTTCAAATTTCTCCATTAATTTGTTTATTTATTAACGCAATGAAAATTTTATTGCAAGTACTTTTTATTTCTTTTTTTTTGTTGATAATAATTCTAAATGATATTTTTTTGTTTTTCTTCTCAAAATGAATCTTTCATGAATATTAGTACTTTTATCATAGAATAAATATTTTATTTTTCTGTATAATTGTTAGTTGTGAACTAGTTCATTCACAAATTAATTGAGTCTTGGGCGTTGCAATATAAAAGCTATTAGAATGTGAATGAAAAGGTTAGATAAAATCTTAATCAAGTAAATTTTCCCAAATTTAAGACATTTATACAAGTTTCCCCTTTCTTCTCTCTCTTACCATATATATACATATATATCATTTGGAAAGAACACACAATATAGTCAAACAGAATGTTAAATCTCAATAAACCACCACGATTTAGTATGAACTCGCCCTGTAAATGATTAGAATAAATATTTC